AAAATAATAAATTAATCAATAAATAAAATAGAAACAGCTCCCACCCCCAGTCCCTCCCCAGAACCACCCCTCCCCGTTGGGCACGGCCCCTCAGCCCCATCCCTGCAGGGCAAGGCCGGGTTTGTAGTGTCTCCCCCTCCCTATGTACTCCTTGGGCCCTATTTACAGATTCACAGTTGGGGGGCAGGGAAGGGGGGTGGAGGGGGCTCCCCTCCTTCCCCGGCCCCGTGGGGTCAGGGCAGAGGGGTCCCGTTGGTGGCCAGGAGCTTCTTGTCCTTAGGGGGGCCTCGGCGGGGAGAGCCAGTCAGCTCTGGGTCTGGACGGCCGGGCGGGGGCTGCAGGTTTCGGGGTGGGGTGCTGGCAGGCCGGGTCTGCGCCCCGTTCTTCTCATCTGTCGGGGAGGAAGCGGTCTGGCATGGGCTCCAGGGCTATGGAGCCGGTGTGGAGGTTCCTGCCATGCACAGGTCATGCTCAGGCCCAAGCCCCTGGCCGTACAACGTGAGGAGACAGCCTCATACTGGTCACCACAGTTTGCTAAGGGGCAGTGTGTATGGCAACAGGTAAGATTCGAGTACTCGAGGTCATGGTCACAGGGTCCCGCTTCCCTTCCACTGCCCTGGTTGTTACGGGGACTGCTTGGCCATGGGGCCTGGAGCCCCTACAACAGGTTGTTTTTGGGGGGTCTCGGGCCCTCCCAGACAGGTCGGCCTGCCTGGGATCACCTCTTTATGGAGCTGTACTTCCCCAGACTAGGGGACTGCAGTTACCAGTGTTCATACAGCAATTGCTATAGGGCCCAGAACAGTGCCCGAGGTCCCCTAGCAGGGACCGGCCCCCATAAGAGTCACTGATGACTGGAGTCTTTGTTGTCATAACAACCAATATGGCTCTCCTCTAGGCAGACCAGAGGTCACCTCCTGCCCCATTCCCTTTTATAAGTCACCTGGCTAAGCCCCCAGGTGCCTGCTGGTCCTTCATCTTTGAGGGTGTGCTCTTTTGGGAACCCTGGTGCTAAGGCCAGCTTTCTTGGAAACCAGGCCTAGAAAGGGTCAAGGGCCCAGCAGAGACTCAGAGGCAACTTTCTCCACTTGCCACTGGTAACACTTGGGGCCAGGGAATGCCTTGCTGTGGGGGCATCCAGTGCACCCTGGGATGTTCCCCAGTATCCCTGGCCTCCAGCCACAAGATGCCAGTAGCATCCCCTTTCCCCCAAAATTGAGACAAGCAGAAAGGTCTCCAGACATCGCCAGATGTCCCCTAGGGGCTGCAGTGAGCCAAATCGTGCCCCCCTCCAAAGATGCCCACCTCCTCCTGCTGAGAACTAGGACTATGTTACATTACAAGGCAAAAAGGACTCTAGCTGTGACCCAGAGGTGAACAGGTTATTTGGATTATCTGGCTGGGTCCATAACAGAACCTTTCCCAGATGAGGTCAGTGTCACAGGGAGACATGACCTTCAAGGAGGTGCCCCATCATCAGCTGTAAAGATGGATGAAAAGCAAAGGAATTCCTACCTGTGGCCTCTGGGAAGGCAGATCTGGATACCCCCAACCCCTAGCCCCCAGAAGGGAGTGTGGCCCTGCCCTCCAGACACCTTGATATTAGCCCGTCAGTTCTGACTGGGGAAATGGGCCCCAGTCTGGAACCACTACTCTCGAGCAGACTTTACCCTGGGAGTTGACCTTCTCTGGTGACAAGGCCACCCAGGTGTCTGCCCTCATGGCTCAGGTCCTATTTGCCTGCTCTTTCTCCCTAGGACCTATGGGACCCCTATTCCCACCCTATCTCATGAGAGGAACTGAGCAGGGCTCTCCTCACTTAGGAGTTCTGGTTATTCCTGGTTGCTAGGGAATTCCGCTCCCTGACAACAAGGCTAGCATCCAGGAAGCCCTACCCCCTAGAGCACAGAGCTCATGCGCCCAGGTGAGGCCAAGTCCTAGAAAGGGAACAAGCTTACAGCCCTGCGGGTGAGGCCTCAAAGTGACAACAGGTGGGCCTTGCTTTCCCACAGCTAAAGTCTCGCCTGCTAACCAAATGCTGCAGCACTTGGTCACCAGGGAGTTTCCCCTCCACCCCACAGGACAGAAGACGAGACAGCCCCATACCCCAGCCTCCCACCTGCCAGGGCCTGCACGGAGGGCTGGTCGTGAGTGCTCAGCAGCTGTGCCTGGATGGTCTCCACCACACGTTTGAACCGACGGCTGGGACCTGGAGGGGGCAGGGAAACAATGACTTGGAGATTGACAACCAGTGAAGCCCGATCCCTGCACCCAGAAAAGGACTCCCCTTCTCTTGGCCCCAATTTCCCCCCGGGGCATCAAGCCATCATTTGCAAATGGAGCTAAGAAATGTTGGACTTAGAATAAAAATGGGTGTTTTCTATTTAAATAGTTTCTGCTGGAGGCTATGAAGAGCCAGAAATGTAAGAAAAATCAATGGGAGGAAAAAAAATCTTAAAATTGAGAACCTTCTGCCTATTAATCTTTTTTTTTTTTTTAAGATTTTTCATTGATTTGGAGAGGGAGAGGGAGAGGGAGAGAGAAACATCCATGTGAAAGCCAAACATCGATCAGCTGTCCCCTGCACGCCCTCTACCAGGGATTGAGCCCAAAACCCAGGCACGTGCCCTGACTGGGAATCGAACTGGCAACCTTTCTGTGCCCTGGATGATGCCCAGCCAACTGAATCACACAGGCCAGGGCTGCCTATTAGTCTTTAAGGAAGAAAACAAAGAGCCATAATTCATTTTGGTGGTGTAACACCCCAGTGTCCCACAGCTGCCCAGTTTAGAAACTGGGAGCAAGCTCATCTCCCAGTTGTGACATATTAAGATTGGTGACAAAGACAGCAAACAGAGGTTTCCCTTGTCCTCCAAATTCTTGTTATCAGGACTCAGGAACCAAGTAGAATTGGAAACAAGGCATTTCCGTGGTTCTCATCTCTTGATTGGTCGAGGCTGCCTGGAGTTGGAGGCTGCAGCTGAGTTTGCAGGAAGAAGTGCTGCGATCTATTGGTAACATCTGCTCTGGGTGCGGGAATGGCCTGGCCCGAAAGCAGCACCCTGTGTCCTTGCTCTTCTGATATACAGTCTTAAAGTCAAGGAAGAGCCAGGTCAGGAGGTGCACCTTGAGCCTAGCTCTGTCACCGTGTGCAGGGCGACTCTGGTCAAGTCCACTGACCTCTTTAGAACTCAGTTTTCCTCTCTGTCAAGTGGGTGATTACTAACACATCAAAGGAAACAGTGCAAGTGAAGCACCGGGCACGTTGTAAACACTGTGTTACACGGTTAAATGTGGATGAGAAAAGGGGAAAGGAGAGGACATGGGGGCCTGAGTGAGGGGGGGCTCGCAAGTCAGGCCCAGCTGAGCACTGTCTCCTCCTACCCCACGCTGCCCTCCTGGGCTGCTCTCCTGTCTCGGCGGAGTTGAGCATCCCAAACACGGGGCTGGGGGCAGTCCAGTCCAGCGAAACGTACCGGAGATGAGCGTAAAGGTGACAGAGTAGATGCCGCCGCCGCCGCCGCCGCCATCCCGTCGCGGGGAGGGCTCCGGCCCCTCGGAGGAGCTGATGTCCACCTGGAAGCGGACGGGCTTCTGGAAGACGGAGGGGCCGCCGCTGGCCTTGTACTCGGCCCTGAAGCTGGTCTGTGACAGCACACTGTGACTCAGGCTGGGGATCTGAGAGGCGGGGAACACGAGGAGGGGTGACCCAGGGAATGCAGAAGCAACCCTACACCTGCCCTCGCCCAAGGACTACAAGTTCCATCAGCCACTGGGGCAAAAGTACAAGGCAAGGCACCGGAATGCCCCACTGCCCCCTGGGATTTGTAGTCTTCCATCCTACCAGGACTAGGTTACACAGGGATGAATGGCTGAGGAACAGATTCCCAAAGCGATGGAAGGGGAATGTCAACTCGCCAGTCCTCAGGGGGCACTAGTACGTGGAGAACTGTAACGCGGGATCCTAGTCCACCACTTCCAGGCCCCAGGACACAACCAACCTCCTGCCTCCCTGCCTAGACAGTCACCAAACCCAACCGGCTGGGAAAGGACAAGCCCCACCAGCCGTAGGAGGAAGGCAGGCGGGTGCCAAGGTGAACCCCAGGGGCTGCTGAGACTGCAGTTCTGTGGCGCCCGGGGTGTGCGGGGACCCAGCTCCTCACCGACAGGAAGGCATGGACGATGTCCGCTTTGATGCTGCTGAGAGGTTTGTCCTTTAGCACGAGGAATATTTGTTCTTCTTTGTCCAGGGAGATAAAGTTCCCGAACCAGGAGCGCTTTGCCAGCCTGAGGAGGAGGGGATGGTGGGAGGAGGGTCAGGAGGGGTGCTGCGGAAATGGAAACCTCGTCCAGTCCAGTCCCGTCCCGTCCCGTCCCGTCCCGTCCCGTCCCGTC